GGTTGAAGCCTGAGGAGCGGTCCAGACTGATTTTTGCTCCGAAGCCTTCTTCTTTTGCAGACCTGGATAGGCTGGTCATCCTTTCACGGAGCGTTCAAGACGCTGATTTTCAGAGGGAGCATGTTCCGGGGCATCTTCCCCAGACTGTTCCCCATCCCGTTGTAGCTTCCGTGGGTCAAGGTCCTGAAATACCGCAGAGACAGAGGCATCCTATTGTTTGCTTTGGCTGTGGTCAAACAGGTCACATGAGACGAGTGTGTCGTCAGAGGGTCAATCTTGCGACTTTGTCCAAAAACCTGAGTAGCTCACAAAGGGAAAGTTTGCCTAAACCGCCCTGTGAGAAAGCTGTTTTGGAGAAAGTCAGCAGGAATTTGGTTTCTCTGAGTACTGCCCCTTCTGGGAGTGCTGGTTTTGGGGAGCCTCTGTCGCGGGGAATGAGGGAGCTTGCATGCATGGGAGTGAAAGCGGCGCGCTCAACTTGCCCACGACTCAACATCTTCTTAGGTAAAACGGTGCAGAAGGCCCTTGTGGATTCTGGGTCAGCCCGTTGTCTCATTTCCCTTTCCCTGTTTGAAAATCTAAAATCTTCTGGGCTAATCAAGCAAGTTGAGCGAAGTACCCACATCTGCTGGACTGCATCGAAATCCCCACTTCCTATCATCTATGAAGCCCGTTTGAAATTCAAGATTGAACATTTTTCTTGGGTGTGGAGTTTTTGGGTAGCCAAGGACCTTTGCATACCTGTCATTTTGGGAGCGGATTTCATCAAGCATTGTGGCCTGATTTTGGATTTAGGCAGAGGCCAGTGCTTCTTTCGTTTCGCAAGACGGGTGCTCATTCCTTTTGCGGATGAAATTGTGGATGGTGCAGCTGTGGTCGAGCCTGAGACACCCAGCAAACCAAAGGTTGATCCATTAGGGCATCTGACTCCTGGTGAAGCTGAAGCTATCAGAACATTGTGTTCTCGTTTTCCTGAGGTGCTGACGCCAAAGCTTGGAGTCACCAATCTTTTGGAGTACGAAATCCGTTTGACTGACACCCGTCCAGTTCGTTCTCATCCTTACAAACTTGCTCCACCCAAAATGGAGACACTCCGTGGAATCATCAATGAGCTTCTTGAAAATGGGGTAATTGAGCCTTCTCGCTCAAGTTACGCAAGTCCAGCTTTTCTAGTTCCAAAGCCAAATGGCAAGTCTCGAATGGTTCTAGATTATCGCAAGTTGAATGCTCAGATTGAAATTGACTCTGTCCCTCTCCCTGATTTGCACTCTGCGTTCGATTGGTTCGGTAAGGCCAAGTATTTTTCCGTCTTTGATTTGAACCAGGCTTACCATCAGATTCCTTTGAAACCTGAATCTCGACCTCTCACTGCCTTCTGCGTTCCGTGGAACTTGTACCAGTTCACACGTGTTCCCATGGGCCTAGCTGTGGGAGCCCAGACCCTCACCAGACTTCTGGACTCCATCTTCCATGACGTCAAGTTCAAATTTGTGTTCAACTATCTTGACGATCTTTTGGTGTACAGTGAGAGCTTTGAAGACCATCTGGTTCATCTTGAGGAAGTCATGAATAGGTTGCTTAGGGCTGGCCTTACCGTAAATCCCGAGAAAGTTAGTTTTGCTCAGGCTGAGATTTCTTTCCTAGGTCATCTAGTATCTTCACGAGGTGTCTGTATCGATCCGGCTAGAACCCAGGCTATCAGGGAGTTTCCTCCTCCCAGAGATGTCAAAGGCATTGCCCGTTTCATTGGCATGGTGGGTTTCTACCGGCGTTTCATCCCCAATGTGGCTGAGTTGGCGGCTCCTCTCAATGAGCTTCGGAAGAAGGGCGCCAAGTTTGTTTGGGGTGAAGCACAACAGATGTCTTTTGATCTTCTGAAAGAAGCTATCATGCAACCCCCGGTTTTGGCGATGCCAGATTTCAGTCGAAAGTTTGTTTTGCAAACCGATGCTTCCTCCGTCGCTATTGCGGCTGTGTTGTCTCAAGAGGTAGATGGTGTTAGGCAGCCAATTGCGTATGCCTCACGCACTTTGAACCCATGCGAAAAGAAAAGCTCTTCTGTGTATGAGTTAGAGTGTTTGGCTGTCGTGTTTGGAGTGAATAAGTTCAGACGTTTTTTGGAACATAAAGAGTTTTTGCTGGAAACCGACAACCAAGCACTCTCGTGGCTCCTTGCACATCCTCGCCAGCTTGGGAAAATTGGTCGTTGGGTGGTCCAAATATCTTCCCTCAAATTCCAAGTGCAACATGTTCGAGGCACGCAGAATGTGATTGCTGACACTTTATCAAGGATGTATCACTCACCTGACGACCAACCTTCTGATCAGGAGGAGCACACTGGGTGTGCCGTGCTCCTGGAGTTTCCCCTTGCCTTTTCTGAGTTCATCCCACATCAGCTAAAAGATCCCGAGCTGGCTAAGATCATTGGTGAGCTTCAAAATGGGGGAGCCCACCCCCCGTATTTTCTGTCCCAGGGTGCCCTTTGTTGTCGAGACCGACAGCGAGGTAAACCCAAGATTGTGCTGCCTAGTCTTCTTGTACCCATGGTCTTTGCGTACTTTCACTCTTCCCCTGTGGGTGGGCACTTAGGGATTCACAAGACCATTGCGAAGGTTAGGGACATGTTCATCTGGAAGGGTATGGACAGGGACATTGCGGCACGAGTACGTTCTTGTCAAACATGCTCGCTAAGCAAGCCTGCTCAGAATACCAAGTATGGGTTGTTGTCATCTGAGGTGGCGGAGAGACCTTTGGAGAAGGTTTTCATAGACTATGTAGGGCCTCTCCCACGTAGCAAGTCAGGAAACAAATTCTTGCTTGTTTGTGTGGATGCCTTCTCCAAGTTTTGTTGGCTTTTTCCTTTGAGGAACGCCACTGCACAGCTCACCGTGCAGGCACTTCGTACCCATTTGTTCCAACACTTTGGAATACCCGCCACCATTGTTTCCGACAACGGAACTCAGTTCGTGTCTCACCTTTTCAAAAGAATGTGCTTTGGGCACGGTATCCGCCATGTGACTACTTCTCCTTACTATCCACAGCCTTCCCATGCTGAGAGGTTCAACAGAAACCTTCGATCCGCTCTCATAGCTTTTCATGCTGACAAGCAGACCACCTGGGATCAGGAACTTCCTTGGATCCAATTTGCTTTCAATACTGCACACCATGAGAGTCACAAGGCGGTCCCTTTCGAGCTGTTGTTGGGCTATCCACCCAACAATCCCTTGGCAAATGTGTGGAAAATTGGCGACCTTCTGCCACCCCCTGGTGCAGCCAATGTCAAGGCCACTTGGCAGGCGGCTAGGAGGAACTTGATCAGAGCTAGGGAATTGGTCCGGAGGAAGCACAATCGAGGTCGGTTGGACAATCCTTTCCAGGTGGGGGATTTGGTTTTCTGTAAGGCTCATCCGGTCAGTTCGGCCGTGGACAAGAGAGCCGCTAAGTCGTCTCATCGGTGGTCAGGTCCCTACCGCATCTTGAAGTTCTTGACTCCTGTCTCCGTGCGGCTTGGAAATCCGCAGACTGGAGAAGTTTTCCGGAGGGCTCACATTTCTCATCTGAAGCCTTTCCGGGGAACAATTCCGTAGGTCATCTTTCTTTACTCTTGTGTCTGAGTGGGAAGTGCACTGGGCCAGAGAGCTTGATCACCTCTTCTGTCCCTTGTGCGCTGCTGAAGATTTTTCCCTAGTAAATTTTCCAGCACTGGCCAGTGCAAACCCTGGGGGTGAGTAGTCCCTCCAGTTGAAAGACTTTTGGCGTTCCCCACTTCAGACACTTGAGTTGATCTGTGGTGTTGAGATCTTCTAGAATTGGGAGAGGTTGTTTTCTTTTTTTTTTTGGAGAGGAAGTCCTCCTTTGGGGGGGGAGGTTGAGCCGTGACATGCCCACCAAGCGTCCCACCAATGTCACGCCTCAGTGTTTTTGTATAGTGCGAGTGCTGGCCTTGCTCCGGAACTCAATCGGTTTGGGTCGGGCAGCAAACCTGCAACCCAGAGTGAATGTCCGCTTGACTTGTGAACTAGAAGACGTGCGGCTGTCATAGGTTACTGTCAAGATTTTTGTTTAAGGTTATGTCAAGTTATCTTTTACGATCCTTTCAGTTTTTCTACTGTGTTGCTTACTAACCTAATCTTCAGTAAAATGTAGTTTAGTGTGCCGAGAACGTCAGATGAGGTCCCGGATGTGAGGCTTCACCAGCCGCTGTCCTCGGAGAGGGTCGCCCGGAGGGACACTCCATCTTCTGCCTCCTTGGGCTGCCTACGGCCCAGCTTCTCCGGGGACCATTAAGCTACTCACCGTCACCCACCACCACCGCCTGCCACCAGCAAGGATAATAGTTGTGCCACGCAATACGCAAGTTATACTTTGAAATTACGAACATTTTAAAAAACTTTATATTTGAAGGGGGCCCCGCAAAATGATCGATTCTTCGTTATTTATTTTTATAGTATTGTTATTTATTTAATTGTTAATTTTTTCAAAGTTTAAAGTATATTTACAGTTACCATCTTTAATTATTTCATTGTTAGGCCTAATTTGTTACTGGTACCAGTTTTTGTAATTCAGAAGGGTAAATTTTTTGAAAGATTTTTAAATGAATTCTTTGGATGGCTGACATTGTTGATTATTGTTATTTGTTGATTTTTGATTAATTATAGGCTTTGTTGACAACTGTTTGTTTGTTTTTAATATTCACCCACGGCCTTTCACTTTTGTTAGGGATGTGGGGCGGCCACTCGCACTGTCACTATGGGGGGCATGCTTCCAATAGTTGTTCGTCTGGGGGCGGTGCGAGGGGTCGGCTCAGTATGTACAAAAATTAATAAAGAAATTTTGATTTGATTTTATAGCCCATAACTGTCTAGTGCCTGAAGCCAACACAACAACAATAGTCACAAATCCTACAAATCAATTATAACACATAATTTGTACTGAAATTTGTCTCTATTTATCTCTAATTTTTTATTGAAATTAATTAATTAGGCCATACTTAAACTAACCTGTGAGAGGCATTTTAGGTGCTGTTTGGTCTCTAACGGTTCTTTTTCTTTTCTTCCCTTTTGTCGTTGATGCTTTCTTGACCGCGCCATTTTCTGTTTTCTCAATATTATTCAAAACCCCTGCAAAAAATTAATTTTGTATTAATTTTTGACAAGTTTGTGCCATGAAAATCCTTTTAAAATGAGGTACAACGTGACTAGTTAAGCCTTTATTCTACCTCACTTTTTACAGTGTAACAATAAGTTACTTAAGCTATTTCTTTTCGAATCTTTTTTTTTAATTATCGTCATTTGATATGAAATTTTAAATTTTAAACTAAATTAAAGGGTTCTTGAAATTTTTTCATAAAATCAGACATTTTACTATTTTTTTTATCAAAGTTCGCCTCAATAAAAAAGCATTTTCTTTTTCTGCATCATGATAGGCTACTCCTGACGCAAAAGCGCCATCCCTTAGCACTCTAAATATATATATACTTAACAACAATGAGGGTGTAGGCCTAACTTGGAAGGTTGCTTGATAGTCATAAAACTACAAGACCAAGCCAAAGCTAAGAAGAAAACTTAGCCTTGGAGAAAATTGCTGAGCGTGAAGAAAAGGATCTCCCAATCTCTGTTAGTTAGGCCTCTCTTTTACAACATATAGGTAGGTGAATGTTATGTCATTTTCTACCTGGTACAGGGAGGATTAAATCGTTATTTAACTTACTTAATTTAATTTATTTCAAATGCAGATTAAAATCCATTCCCAGCGGGGCCGGTTAGATCTGGTAGATGTTCCACAGAAACGCCCTGGCACATCTTTCTTACCATTTAAGTTAAATGGTAGCTAATCACACAGATCGATTCTTGTTAGACCTACTAACTTAAGTACCGGTACTGTAAGATTATCAAAAGTTAAACACTAACCTGCATCTGGGTCACTGATTTGGTCATTTAGCTGTTCTGTTCTGTCAATACTGTCTTTTACATCCATTTCCTTTTCTCAGAAAATCTCTACAAACAAAAATAATAACTTAGAGAACAATGAACTTAGGCCTATATATCTAAGCTGACAAACACACACTAGGCTACAGAGAACAAATAACATGATCTTCTATTATTCTAATTCCGTAAGGAATTTCTTGTGCACAGCAAAACTCTTTTATTTATGAACCGATTTTGATTATTAACCCTCCGAGTGTCCCTAGTTTTGGCCCTAATGTCTGCCTATTTTTTGCGCATTTGCAAGGTTTTATTAAAACGGATCTGAGAAGCTTAAAAACAATGTTAATTATACTGTTCTATATACCATTTTGTTTGGAAAATCATGGGCTTCAATATTATACATAAAACATAAGGAACATTTGTTTCAAAAAAAGTTTTTAGGTAAAAAAAATATTTTGGAAAATTTTCAAAAAAAAAATAAGTTTGCGCTCAATGAAATTGTATAAATTATAGGCCTATAAATATTTGAAAATAGCCACTTTGTTCTAAATTTTATGAGGATTCCAAAAATATAATAATATAAGGAAGTAGATTTGCAAATAAATAAGTTATGGGCAAAAAACATTTCGGTACATAGTGTTTAGCTAAGAATGCATAGCCTAACCATAGCTAGGAATCTGGCTGATAATTTACATCAATATCACTACCTACTTCTTCAGGATCATCAACCAGCCCTTCAAAATCACTTAAATCTTCTTATAATGCACCACGTATATCACTACTTTTGATTTTTAACACTAAAACAATGATAAACGTAATAAAACACATCAGTCATCGGTGCGAGGTTAACCAAGCTGTTTACAAATACGCACGTCAGCTGTCTGCTACAATTATGATCGGCTCGAGAAAAAAAAGCGCTTAGAGACAGACCTCGGGAGAAAGCTTAGTATCTGCCAAATAAAACGATACCTAACTCAATCCAGTTCAATCCGATTTTGTCAGTCATAGAGCCTTCGCCGTAAACAGTGTTTGTGAGTCGAAATTTCGACACAAAACACTACACAAAGTGTGTTATGTGTCGAAATTTCGACACATAACATTCTGAGGGTTAAGGAGTCAAATTAAAGGGAATTCTCTGTAGAAGTCATGGAATAACTTTTGTCACGCTCAGTTCAATGTGCTTTGCTCCATTGGACTTTAAAGTTGTCATGTATTTTAAATATACAAGTCCAAATTTGTTAAGATTACCTAACATATGATTCATTTCTTTAAAGAAAACATCTGTCTTCATAAAAATAGCCCGTTTCCCTTCTTTCACTTTAATATTTACTTTTTCGGTTTACCCATCAGTTTACTTTCAAATACAATGATAACTTATGAGATGGGATAGTTTATTTATGCAGTTTCATTCATAGGGAGTAAAAACCAGTCTATTTCATTATGTGATTGTATTTTATTTTCAGATAATGGAGTGTTTAACGTTTTCATAGATATTTTTATGTGTAGTGTTTTCTAATTTTTAATTTTGATTATCATAAAATTCTACCTAAAAGAAACAATCCCGTGTTTGAGATTCGGCGACGTATTAACAACAGAGATGGTATGATAATAAATTGTGAAAAGTTACCTATGCTGGTTTTTGAAGTTCAAAGAAATGTTATGCGACCGCTTGATTTTTTTTAAATATTGCACGGACAGATACTGTCACAAAACAGACTATTTTGACTTAGGAGATCTTAGCGTACAGTACAAAACAGATTTAAATTGCCAATAAAATTAAATGAGTCAGTCTCAGTCTTCGGAATAAAATCCAATAGTAACAAAGTTAAATATTTGTAAAATACAGTAGAACCTCTTTAATCCAAACTAATTGGGACCGGGGGTAGTTCAGACTATTGAATAGTTCGGATTACAGAACATATTGTTGTCATTACATAACAATAGCTAAAACAAGGCTAAAATGGATTGTAATTGTAACAAGAAAAGTTAAAAAACGCTTTATAAAGTAAAATACAGTGTTTATTTAATACAGTACCGGTAGTAAACATAGTGAATAAACAGTACTGTACATTAAATACAGTATACAATATAGAACTACTGTACTGCGTATAAAGTACAGCAATGAGGTGTTCGGAGTAGAGGATGTTCGGATTACGGGGGTTCGGATTAAAGAGGTTCTACTGTAATATTATAGGATGAAGCTTCTATGTCTAATAAGTATGCTTTATCTTCTGCAGAATAATTAATGCAAGATATCGCCAGAAGAGAAGGCTAAGCAAAACCTTTTGGTGGAAAGGTTTAGGAGGTAATTTCCGGCAATGAACTATCATAGTCTCTGGAGCGAGTCGCTGTGAAATGGTAGAAAATTCAATAATTATATCACCTTTATGGTCAATGTTTAAAAATGTTTCACTTGCTAAAAACATGAGAGCAAATCCAAGGGAATCAATATTTGCTGAATATCTTTTACGAATAAGGAATGGCCAAGAGAGCTACCCTAATGGTCTTTGTGAGACATTGATAAGTCTTCCACCACAATGTATTGCGAATAAAAATATCATTGACGAAATCTTCAGTGAAGGATTCTCTGAAGTTGCTTAAAAAAAGACAAAAATCACGAAAAAATTTAACCAAAGAATAAACATGGTGACCAAATTAATAATAAAATAGCTAAGCAGCTAAATAATGATAGCAGAGTTTACTACTTAGTGGACACTTTGATTCAAGAAGAGGAAGACCGGTTACATGTCCCTAATGAATTTCTCCACACTTTAGCACCGAGTGGTTATGTCTCACAAGTTATGTTTATAAATACCCCCGCCGCAGCAAACCTGCCGACTAAGCGAATTTCCATTTGTCTGAATTTATTTTCAGTTAAATATATTTTAATAACATTAGGTTTAACAAGTACCTAGGTTTGCTGCTACAAGAAAACTAATAAAGTGTGTTTTGAGTTAAATATTGATAGCGTGGTACAAAATAAATAAATTTGCCAAGTTTGATCAAAATATATCCATAAACAAGCAAACTACAACATTTGACAATATTCTCCATAAGAATAACATGGGAATTTTAAATTTACAATTTTTTAAATTTTCTCTGTTACTAATAATCGAACAAAAATACTTTTATATACTAAATTATTTGTTTTTTTAAGCTCTTTAAAAAGGTCTAAAGAGAAATTGGGAAATTTTGTGTTTTGAGGGTCAAAAGTGAGAAAAACCAATTTTTACCCCATAAAACCCCCCGTAAAGCCTCGTTCCCATGGTCCGATCGTGCTGGTTCGCGAACTCATTCAAGTTTATCCAGCTTTACACCTTTAAACCAAATTTCATCAAAATCGGACAAAAATTACTCAAGTTATCGTGTTCACGGACGTATATATACATATATATACAGGGTGACAATTAAGTCTTAGGACGACTTTATAACTTTTGAACGACAAACGATATCACAACCACATTTGGTATACCGTTACTGGAAATTGTTAACTACTTTTCTGTGTACATGGTGGTCGGATATCACCTTTGGGGGACGGCCCGTCGGGGGTCAGAAGAAAATCTTTAATGACATTCTATGTTGAGTTGTACATCATTTTAAAGGTCTACTTCAACTGAAAACAATGCCGCAAACCGCACTTTAAAAGGTTGATCCTGCGCAAAATAGCAGATGTTCAAAGATTTTCAAAATTAGCCAATTTCTTTAAATTAAAACACTTTTTTAAATCTTTAAACAACTGTCCAAAAAAAAAACCTTCTTGATTCTTGATTCTTGATTCTTGTCATTTTTTAACGGATGGTCCTTTTGAAGTACGGTTTGCGGCATTGTATTCTACTAATAAATACCTTTAATTTGATGTGCATATCGACCTATGCTTCCATTCAAGATTTACTTCCGACTCCTTGTGGGCCGTCGCCCTGAAGAGTTATTTGGATCACTGAATGTGAAGTTATGGGGATCATTTTAAAGGGAATTTTAAGCAAAGAAAAATGCCGCAAACCGTACTTCAAAAGGACCATCCGTTAAAAAATGACAGTTGTTTAAAGATTTAAAAAAGTGTTTTAATTTTAAAAAGAAATTGGCTAATTTTGAAAATCTTTGAACATCTGCCATTTTGCACAGGATCAACCTTTTGAAGTGCGGTTTGCGGCATTGTTTTCAGTTGAAGTAGACCTTTAAAATGATGTACAACTCAACATAGGCTGTCATTAAAGATTTTCTTCTGACCCCCGACGGGCCGTCCCCCAAAGGTGATATCCGACCACCATGTACACAGAAAAGTAGCTTACAATTTCCAGTAACGGTATACCAAATGTGGTTGTGATATCGTTTGTCGTTTAAAAGTTATAAAGTCGTCCTAAGACTTAATTGTCACCCTGTATAAATATATATATATATGAATTTGAACGGATGGTGTTTTTAGCCTCTAGGGACCTCAAAACGAAAAAAAAAATTGGTCCCGCGTCCAGGTCTTACCATGAGTACTACGGTAATAGTGTATTCCCTATATGGGAAATTCGCTAACAAATTATACTAGGCCTACTCAACAAAGGAATACATACAAGAACACACCTACACACACGTCTACGAAGTTATTCATAGTCCAGGCCCCAGGGGCTATCAGAATAAATAATATAGTAACAATAGGTCTAGTATCCTTTTCTTAATGTTCATCAATGATCTGCCTCCTGTAGTGTCAAATTCAGAGTTACATCGGTTTGCTGATGATACTTCCCTCATTGTCTCCAGTCAAAATCATGCACAGCTAGAAATCCAAACATTTATTGAGAGTACAGTAGTTTTGTTTTCCAATGGCTATACGAGAACTCTCTACATGTTAATCCTCAGAAAACATCACTTTTAGAATTTCGTATACGACAGAATTCGTCTAATCCATCTGAATCTTTAAATTTACCTGTCGACAACATCAACATTGTTTCTTCTTCTAGTGTTACATATTTAGGAGTAGTCATTGACAGCAATCTGAAATTTTCCAGTCACATCGACAACATTCACAATAGACTTAGTACTAGTGCTTTCCTTCTTCGTAGGCTCTCCTGTTATCAAGATAGACGCATCCTTCTGACAGCTTATTACGGTCTTGTTTACCCCTTTCTTACGTGTGCCCGTTTGGGGTAACGACTTACTTCAAACTAAGAAAATATTCAAACTGCAAAAAAGAGCCATCAGATTAATCTTCAACCTAAAATATAGAGAGTCTTGTAGATCTGTCTTTCGTACAAATAATATGTTGACCTTTCCATCAATTTTCATTTTTGAATCTTTGACCTTCTTAAAAAAAATTCGACAGTGTTTCATATTAAAGGGTCATCTCGCCACAGCTACAATCTCAGGAGGAACTTTAACCTACATATTCCACTATCTCGTACCACTTTCCATAAAAACCAATCATTCCGTATTTTTAATTCTCTTCCTAATAGAATCAAGGACAAACATGATTTAAAAAAATTTAAGTGTGGTCTGAGGGAATATTTAGTTGATAAGGAATTTTACAGAGTTTCTTAGTTTTTAAATTGTAAATAGTTTGTACCTTTTGAAGTTTGTATCTTTATTTTAATGGGTCTGATTTTACTTGTTTAGTTTCAGTGACTTTTGCCCTGTACATTTATGTATTATTATGGCAATGAAACATTCTGATTCTGATTCTACATTGGGCTAGCTGAAAGGCTGCCAAGAGGATGAATAAGGAGAAATTTTCCATAAAACAATGTAATGTTACCAAATATCTAGGTGTAGGCCTACTTTTGGATGAAAATCTATCATGGAAGATGCATGTAAATAATTTAAAGAATTCATTACGTTACTCACTTAGATCTTTTTTCCACCTCAAATATTGCTGTCCTCTTCCCATCTTAATTAGGTTGACCACTCTTTAATCAATTCTAAGCTTGAATATGGAATTTCTTTGTATGGAGGTGCCTATGTGTCGAATTTAAAATCTTTAATAACTTTACAGAAGAAATTTGTCAGATTAATATGTAATGTAAATTTTTATTCTCATTCTCTACCTTTATTTGTAAGTCATAATATCCTTCCCTTCAGATATTTATATATTTTTAAAGTATAGACTATATTTTTCAAATTAAGTAGTAATGCAGGACCAAAAGTTGATAACATTCACAATTATTCAACCAGACAAACTGCACATAACATTCTACGTTTACCCAAACCAAACTGTACGGTACCCTGTTTAAGAAGTGTTTTATTTATTTATCAATTAAAATTTTTAATGTCATTCCTGTTTCTGTAAAGCAGAGTAGGTCATTTAGTGTTTTTAAGAAATCTTTGAAAAAGTGGCTATTAACCAAGTCATATGATGAAATAGAACAGTTGTATTCTTAATAATATTAGTAAGTCATGTCTAGCTCAAAGTATTTGCTTTATCTTGGTAAGTATCTGTATTTCAGAGTCTGGGTTTTCATCGTTTCCTTCAATTTCTTTAAATGTTCTCATTATTATAGTTACATAGGCCTACTTTTCGTTTTACTTCCTAGATAGGCCTATTGGTGAATTTTGTTTTCTTTGTTGTCTTTTCCAAACAAAAGTTACTGGACTAAAGGTAAATTTAATTTATAGGCCTAATTCATTTTGTTATCCTTTTCAGAGAATTTTTTTGTTATTGTTAAGTATTAGTTAGTTGAGACTCCCGCCCACACACAGAAGTTTTAATCTTCTTTGGGTGTGTATATTTCTTCGCAAGTTGAAGCAAACTGTTTTTATTTAATTAAGTTAATTAACAATAAGTTTTGATTACATTGTAAAGTAATTTGTTTTTATAGATCTTTGTAATTTTATTGTATTACTTGTGGGAGAAATAAAGATTTATTATTATTATTATTATTATTACTTTAATTGCATATAAATACATTTTATTATTATTTTTAGATATAAAATACCGGTACGACAAACATCATAAAAAATATATAAATCTTAACTTACTATATATTTTTCTTTTAACTAAAATGTTTTAGTGATATACTGGCATTTTTGGTATATAAATACACAGAGGATACGCGTCCAGTAACCAGACGTGGATTAGGCGTCCGCCAATGACTTAACCGGTTTGTGGGGGCCCGGAACGGAACACCATTGCCACAACGATACGATGTAGAGCCATCGGTGTTTGTGGTGTAGTGGATAGAGTGCTCGGCGGATATGCAAGAGGTCCCTGGTTTGAATCCCATCGGTAACTTAAACTTTTTGTCAAAGATTTTGCTTTGAATGTCATTTCTTCTTAACTGCACATCTTTAGTTAGAATTTGTGGCATTTATATCCTACCTATATAATTTGATTTTATGAACAGAATTTAACCTTCATTAGATTTTTTCATTATATCAGCAAGTTTGGGTGGTTAGGTTATTAGGTTATGATAGTAACTGCCCCGGTTACCGGAGCGTATCCTCTGCGAAATAAATAAGACGAAGCAAATGGGTTAAATGAACTTTGTGGTTTGGCAAAAGCGAGCCAAAGCCAACATAGAATTTTAAGAGTTAACCTACAACATTATTAATCAATAATCAGTAATCACATAATAATATGGTTGTCTACAACTTGTGTAGGCCTAGGTACTTACAACTTACAATATTAGCGATAGGGTACAGGTTATTTTAGAATCAGCGTGAAACTGGCAATAGAACAGCAATAACCCATTCCACTTCTCCTACCGCCCCTCCGACGAATATACGTCACAGTAAAACGTCACAACAATGATGGCGTCACAGTAGGATTCGTCACAAAGCAGCTGACATAACCTCCAAAATATCAAGTGGCGGCAATTTTTTTTGCGAAACACGGCCAAGATGGCGTTTGGCGGTACACGCACAGCGTTGATTATGAAGGTTAAGTAATATATATGTATAAAACTGTACAATACGTTGAATGAAATTAAACTACTATTTCATTATTTAGAGAATAAAGAACAATATTAAAGACGTTTGAGGTTATTTTAAGTAGTAACCACCTCCAATTTTTTCCAAATGATAAAATTATTAGCTGACTACCATAAAAACCTATTGCTGGCATCTCCCCTTAAGTTTTTCTCTCGTTTTTCTTTTGATATATGTTAAACACATGGTTATGAACAAAAAATGACGTATTCAAGGTTAGCCCACTCTTTACTAGTGTAGCTATTCAGCCTGGAATGCACTTCATATGACCTTGATTGCACGACGACGCTTTTACTAAAATTCATGTTTTATATGTCTATTTACATTATGTAGAGCATATTGCACAACACCAAGCACTTTTTAGCTAATTAAGTAGTTACCGCATCGATTTGAATCCAAATCTAAAATTACTATTTGACTACCATAAAAACCTATTGCTGGCAATTCCCCTTAAATTTTTCTTCAGTTTTTCTTTTGATACGCGTTAAACACATGGTTATGAACAAAAAATTACCTCTTCTAGGTTAGCCCACTCTTTAATAGTGTAGCTATGTATCCTGGAATGCACTTCGTGTGACCTCGGTTGCACGCCGATGCTATTACAAAAATGTATGTTCTAAATGTCTATTTACATTATTTATCTGGTATTGAACAATACTGGGCACTTTTAAGCTTATTAATGTAGAAATCACCTTGATATTAATACAAACTAATAAACTACCTAAAATTACTAACTAAATATAGTAAAAAACCTATTGCTGGCATCTCCTCTTAAATTTTTTTCTCGTTTTTCTTTTGATATGTGTTAAACACATTGTTATGAACATAAAATGACGTAGTATAGGTTAGCCCACTTTTTAGTAGTGTAGCTATGCAGCCTGGAATGGACCTCATAATAGAATAATAAATTACCATAAATTTCTATTGCTGGCCTATCCCTTTGGTACGATTTTCTTTATTCTTTCAAAATATGTTTATTACATCATTACGAACTAGAAAACACGTCGCCTAGGTTAGCCCACTCCTTTACAGTTGAGATAGGTAACTTTGAATTAAACTGGTGTGACCTCGGTTCCATAAGAACCTAATTTACTAAAACTCAACTTTTTTCGTTTATACATGTTAGTTACACCTTAATAAACAATACCTAACGCTATTTCGATAAAAAATATTACTATTTATCAATTTAATGCATTATTTAAAATCTGCCTCAATATAACAATAAATTACCATAAATTTCTATTGCTGGCCTATTTCTTTGGCACGATTTTCTTTATTCTTTCAAAATATGTTTATTACATCATTACGAACTAGAAAACACGTCGCTTATGTTAGCCCACTCCTTTATAGTTGAGATAGGCCATTTTGATTGTAGCTGGTGTGACCTCGGTTCCATAAGAACCTAATGTACTGAAAACCAACTTTTTCGTTTATACATGATAGTTACACCTAAATAAACAATCCCTAACACCATTTCAATAAAAAATATTATTATTTATCAATTTAATGCATTATTTAAAATCTGCCTCAATAGAACAATAAATTACCATAAATTTCTATTGCTGGCCTATCCCTTTGGCACGATTTTCTTTATTCTTTCAAAATATGTTTATTACATCATTACGAACTAGAAAACACGTCGCCTAGGTTCGTACACTCATTTATAGTTGAGATAGGTAACTTTGAATTAAACTGGTGTGACCTCGGTTCCATTTGAGCCTAACTTACTAAAAATCAACTTTTTTCGTTTATACATGTTAGTTACACCTTAATAAACAATACCTAACACCATTTCGATAAAAAATATTATTATTTATCAATTTAATGCATTATTTAAAATCTGTCTCAATAGAACAA